GGTCCAAATGACTGGAGCCAGGCCGATCTGAAGCCAGGAGCCAGGAGATTCTTCTTGAGCTCCCATGTTGGTGTAGTGTTGAAAGGACTTTGACCATCTTCTACCTTCCCCAGGCTGTAAGTAGGGAGTTGGCTGGAAGGTGAAGCAAGTGGGACATAAACTCATGCCCATAGGAGGTTCTGGTGCTAATAGATGGAGGGTTAGCCGGTTGAGCCCTTATGTCAGCCCCAAAGGATAATTTATTGTTGAGGTGTATTATGTATAAGTTAAATTGTCTGAATAGAGTCAAAGAATAGTTAGTGTTATATCGTGCATGTGTACCTTTACTTTTCCTTATGATACTATCTTTCATACTTTCTTTAGACTTTCACTTAATTTAGGTCATTAGGAAATTAAATGTAATTTAATATGCTTTGATATGCTTCAAATGAACATGTCATTGAACAAAACAAATCTGAAGTTATAAAAATTACTAGTATCTAGTTTTTTGGTATTTTTCATTGTTATTATTATTGTACATGATAGAATTTTGTAGGTATAGGGATTCTCTCCATTTACCATTCCCTCTCCATTTTGGCCGCCACTGTTTTTTGCTATATTGTTACAGCAGTCATACAAGTCCAACATTCTGCTATTCAAGTGTGTCATGGCATTGTAGGTATAGACAATGGTAGATAGTTTAGCATCTATTGTCAAGGTATATTTAACAGTTTCTTTGGAATTCCTCCTTTTATTTGCTAGTAGATATGCATACTGCAATGTATCTTTACTTCTCGGTATATTCTGCATTTTATACTTCATCTATGAGAAAATATGTATATACATATTTACCCATACATCTATATATTTCTTTTGTATTTTTAATTAAGATAATGTACTTGTCCTTTGTGGATAGCTTATTTCCCTGAGCATAATGGCCTGTATTTGGGACCATTTACTTGCAAATGGTAGGATTGCCATTTTTTAAAAAAATGGCTGAGTAGTATGTCATGGAGTAGAGATAACACAGTTTATCCATTCCTCTTTCAACAGGCATTTGGGTTGTTTCCACGTTTTTGCTGTTATGGATTGTGTTGTTATAAATGTAAGGTTGCACTACAATTTATGTGATTGATAGTTTTAGTACATGTACTTTGGTAACTAAACCTAAGAGCCTTGGAGACCACCTTGTCATTTACATATACTTTATTAAGGAGTTTCTTTGGAATAATTATTAGTGAGTCTAATCACACTTCAGACTTTCATATCCATCCCCCACCCCCCAGATTTTTAAAAATGAAGGATTTCAACAAAATCCTTTTAATTATCTTTCACTTTCAATTCCAAGATGCCAGCCTTTCTGAGTAAAATTTCTTTTAGCTCTGTGAACAACTGCAATGACATATTGGGCAGAAGAACTCTGCTTTGAAACTTCTCTATAATCAGTTGGGCAAACAGAACATTGGTGGAATCCATAAATAAAGAGCAGAAAATAGTAGGCTTTGGAAACAACAGCTTGGTCTTAAGAGGTTTGTGAATCCCTGTAGAGCAAAATCAGTATTTACCCATTTTAGGTGTCCAAGTGTTTCTAACTAAACAGAGCCAAAGTAGTTAAATGTGCCAGCAGTCTTGTCCCTGAAACTAAACATAGGGCAAAAGATGTGTTCCTCCATGCACCTTGTCAGCAATCACAGAGAATGTCAAACCTGTCTGTTTTTACCACCTGTGATATTTCTACCATTTAAAGATACTTCACATCAAACCTGAGCTCTGATTACTGACGAATGAAAAATAATTCACTTAAAGAGACCCAGTAACAAATGAGAGAGGAGAAAGATATGAAAGTCTGAGTATAAACCTTAGGTAACCAGTAGTGGTTACATAAAAATCTGGAAAACATGAAAATCTGAATTTGGAAAAAAAATTGGGAGAATTTATGAAAACTGAAAAAATGAGAAATCTTTTCAAATATAAAAAAAATTCAGTTGAACCATTCAGTAGATAGACTGAAGAGAAACATCATCACTGTTGAAACATGACTTAGGCACATTAGGAACTAATAAGGCACATGGGAAGAGTATATCAGTATATCTTGAGCAAAAAGAAAATAGGCTAAAAATCTTGAATCAAAAAAGTTCCTGCACAAAGGAAAAATGTGAATATATCAAGTTATTTCAGGAATTTAATACTTGGAACAGTGAAAGCTTGCAGATAGTTTAATGACATTTACATACTGCACAAAGAAAATGACTATATCCCAAGAATTCATATGCATGGAAGGATATCATTTGTTAGGTGAAGGAAATATTTTTAGATGTAATCAAGTATTTTGAGTATATGGTGTGTATACCTTAGAAAATGTTTGATAATGAATTAGAAGCAAGCAACCAGTGAACAAGAACAAAAACTATAATATGAGGAAGATTATGAGGACAGAAAATAATAGTGAATGATGAGAACTTATGTATACTTTATATAAAATGCAGTTTCATTTAGTAGGTAAAATATAGTTGACTAGCAATATATAATGTATAATTTCACCCTTAAAATACTTCATTAGGGAAAATTTGATTTCTATCCAAGTATCATCAGAATGAATAGAGAATTAGGCAGCTTAGGAGTAAAAGAGAAGAGAAAATAGGCAGTAAAATATGAGTGCAAAGGAAAAAGAGAAAAGGCAATGGGGAGTGACTATATCCTCAAGTTCAATTTTAGGGAAGGAGAAGGGAGATAGACCTTTGATGTTGAATAAAAATATATCCTACATATATACATACTTCTGTTTATTCTTGTAGGGAAAGTGAAAATAATATTCAGTGCAGTAGATTGTAATTTCAAAAGGACAAGAAAGAAAAATAATGCAGTTTCTTGATCAAATTAGAGAAAAGGAGAGTGAAAAAACAATATGTAAATAAAAAATAAACCGAAAATAATTGGATTATACATAGTTAGGAATATTAAGTTTTAATTACTTATTTTATTTGAAAGTTAGAGGGAACGACAGCTCTTCCATTTAACTGCTCACTCCACAAAATGCTACCATGGCCAGAGCTGAGCAGGTCCAAAACTGGGAGCCCGAAGCTTCCTCTCTGTCTCCCTTACAGGTGTAGGGGCCCGATAATTGGACCATTTTCTAAGGTTTTCCTAGGCCATTAACATGAAGGTGTTGGTATAGTGGTTCGCATAGCTACCCTAGGCCATTAGCAGAAAGCTGAATCACAAATGGAACCCCTGGACATGAACCTGCATGCATGTGGGATCCTGGCACCAAAAATAGTAGGGTTAGTGGGCTATGCCACCAAAAATAGTAGTGTGGATATTGATTTAAAAAAAAGTTTTATGTATTTTTATTGGAAAGGCAGGTTTACAGAGAACGGGAGAGAGAGGGAATGAAGGAGAGACAGACAGACAGACAGACAAGACACAAGAGACATCCAGCCACTGATTCACTCTCCAAATGGTATCAGCAGCTGTAGCTGAGCAGATCTGAAGCCAGAAGCCAGGAGCTTCTTCCAGATCTACCATGTGGATGCAGGGGCCAAGGATTTAGGCCATCCTCAGCTGTTTTCCAACACTATAAGCATTGAGCAGCCAGAACATGAACTAGCACTTGCAGGCAGAAGATTAGCTGATTGAACTGCCACGCTGGCCCTGAATATCAGTTTTTATGTTCAAACTGGATAGATTATGTTCTCCAACCTCAACATATATTTTTGGATGATATTAAAAAATGCAAGCTAGTCAAATTATACCTCCAGAAAAATACTTAAGACAAAGTTAATAAAATGTAAAATAATGGTAAGATATCATAAATAGAAACAAAAGACAAAGTGATACCATTAACACGAAGTGAGAGAATTTAAGATTAAAAGGGATAGGTGTAGTGTTATAATAATAGAACACCAGACATAGCAAGTGTTTTAGCAGATAAGTTGTGAAGTGAAAATTATTGGAGTCATTTACTTATGTTACATTAAAAAAAGACTAAGATAAATAAGATGATAAAATAAACATATATAAATGTGACATTCTTTGGAGAACAGAAATCTTACAGGTATATTCTGTAGCAAAATAAGCTAGCATGTAAGCTAGCACAGTTGGATTTTCAGTTTTTCTGAGGTTTAACTACATAAAATTCTTTGATTAAAATTAAAGTAACCTTAAGTTTTGAATAAAGCTGAAGTGACATGGAGACCAATGAACATAAAATATTTACATAAAAAATTATGGAAAATTAACTAAAGCAGTTTTAGAGGAAAATTGATAGCCTTAGAGACTCTTTTGATTAAGATGGAAAATAAAAAATAAAAAATCCAAAATCTAAAAACCACATTGCTGGTGTTTTGGAAAGACCATTTAAAAAAATAAACTTTGTGGTACTTCTACTCCATGACATACTACTCAGCCATTAAAAAAAAAGGCAGCCCTGCCATTTGCAACAAAATGGTTCCAAATACAGGCCATTATGTTCAGGGAAATAAGCTGATTCACAAAACTTCCTGAGTACCAAAAATTATTGATTTCTACACTTTTAGCACAATTTCAGTGATAGATTCTAAGGTATGTCAATTTTAACCTCAATATTAAAGTTTTGGAAATGAGTGAACAAAAATAAATGCTAATGAGGAATGAAGAAAAAACAAAGTTGGAAATAATTTTAAAAATTAAATGTAGCTATCTGACAGTAAATTTTTAAGTAGAAATACATCTTTTAAACACATATGAATGGTCACCTGGGGGAGATAGAAGAGAGATGACAATTACTGTTAAAATATTGGAAAGTTAACCAAATGTAGTCTCTTAAAGATTGTGGCATAGATACTTTTGAAGTAATTTGAATTATTTTGGGGCATGGAGTATACTGATATATGTTTTAACTTCATTTAATATCTATTTGATTTTATGAGGATTGTGTAAAAATTATAGTCTAGTTTATGAAATGTGTGCAGTATTTCAACTAAAATAGAAAATAACATCAGCAATGAATCAAAAGCAAAAATAATAAATAATACATCAATATAATTTATTACACCATAGTTAAAGGAGAAAAATCATGTTCACTTCAATATATGATGAAAAGTAATTTAATTCAATAGATATCCTTTAAAGGCAATCGGTGTAAGAATAAGTGAATTGTTACATATTGGTATGTATTTTCACCTACAGGCAACTAAATGTATGGTCCTAAATGACTAAATCATGAAACCATTTTAATTACATTCAGAAATTGGACAAGGGACCATCCATCACAATTATTTAATATTGAGTAAGAGGCTTTATTTAACAAAGTACAACTGACATTAATACTGATCGAGCAGAGCTAATAATGTCTTTTTGCAGGTGATATATGACTTAAAAATTTCTGAAATGCTAATTTCAAGATCTAGAAAAGAACAAAAATTGGTAACTTGGTTGGTTAGAAGATAGATGAAAATTTGTAATTTTTTGTGAAATCTATTGACTAAGAAACTATCCAGGTATAGAAATGATATGAAAGCAAAGGCAATATCATATTAAATAGAACAGGATCTGATTAAAGAAGAAACTAATATTTTGGGGGGAATATAGTATTAATATATTAATTCTTTGTAACTTAAAAAATGTATTTCAAGCAATTCCAATTAGAATCTTGATGAGCTGTTTTCAATTTTTGAAAGAGGTAATGTAATTTTACAATTATGTGGATGATCACATGTTAATAAATGACCAGTATGAAAAAGCAGTGAGGAAGACTTGCATTGTGCTTATAATACGTAATATAAATTCAGTTGATCAGAATATATGGTAATGCCATAGGAAGACATACAGATTAATGGAACAGATAAATTATTTTTAAAATAGGTAACAGCTTGGACAATACATCACTTAAATAATGAGACTGCAATAACTGATGATCACTGTGGAAAAAATGAAAAGCATTATTGTTTTGTATCTTATACAAAGATAGTTTACAATGGATGGCTTAAATGAAAAAAGTATAAAGAACTTTGCAAAGTGAATCATCATAATTCCCTAATATAGAACATAATGAAATTCACCTATCTTTTTGCTTTTTGTAAATCTAAAGAAAATTACTTAGTGAAATAATGTTAGTTATCATATGTCTTTCTTATCATATCATTATGTCTTTAATATGGTTACATGTCATATAATGTTTAGTTACTTACTAGTTTAACCTAAATGTCTGTGAAATAGTTAATAGTACTATCAGTATTCAATAGATGAGGACAACCTGGATTGACTAAGTAGCTTAAAACTTCTTTGGGAGAAGATCAGGTATCATGTCCTTGTAGTACTAAGGCATATTTTGTGTGTGTGTTAGAAATTGTCATTGAATTATTCCATATAATCTATTTTATGGTGCTTTGGTGATCCCATTGTTCCTTGGTCCTGTTCTGGTGCTAATTACTTTTATTATCAGGAGAATCAAGATAAATATTAACATCAAAGTACATCTAGAAAGTGGATAAAAAAATATAAAACACGCAACCTTGGAGAAGTATGTGAAATTGACTTGGGAATGAGTGGTTACTGATTTTGAGCTATAAAGTGATTGTATATATGACATACATTCAAACTCAGAGCATATTTAACTGACTGGTTGATGCTCCTGCACTCATTTGCTGGCATAGTGGTATGTTTGTAAGAAGATAAACAAGCATTCTGCTGAATGTTTCTAGCAAAGAAACACAATTTGACAATTAACCTGCCACTGTTGTCAATCTTTTTATATCTTTAGAACATAAACATTTTGTTTCCAGTTCCTTGTATTTATTTTAAAATAAATTATGTGATCATATAAATAATTTTCTTGTAAGTCATGCATTAGAATATATTCAACTACTGATATTCCTTCTGGACACTAATCATGAAACTAATAATGAAATTTCAGATATTAATCCTCTGTGTTGACTAGGTATCTTGGGTGAGAAGGTAGAGGAAAGAACCTTCAGTAACTTGGCGTGGAAGGGCTGTATGGTAGCATAGCACACAGAACTAGCCTATGACAGACCTTTTGGAAAGGAGCAATAGTTATAAATTTATTGACATCATGTTTTTCATAGTTGCTGATGTATGTTGGCTCAAAGAGTGGGAATTAGACACTGGAAATTAGTGGATAGACAAGGTGTGACATGAATGATAAGCGTCTTGACTTGTGGAAAGGTGATTGTAAGAGTAGAAGAGGATCAGTGTACACTGAGGTACTTACAATGAGCAGTTTACTGTGTAAAAACATAATTCAGAATGTGTAGTTGTTTCAGGGATGTGTCGTTGGAAATATAGGATCAGTATTTTTAAAGTTGTTAGAGACAGGTGTTCATTGAAAAAACAGGTTAGTCTTCAGGGAGAAGTAACACAAAAGCAATGTAACAGGGCTGCAGTAACTTTTTTTTTCTGAATAAAATTCCTGGAGAAAAGGATTCTTTTCAGAGATATAGGGCTCTTGTGAGACACAGTTTGATTTATTTGCATGAATGATAAATGTAGGAAAGAAATGTTTTAGATTTTTGTTGTTTTTTGTTTATTTGAAATGCAGAGAGAAAGGGAGAGAGAGTACTTCCATCTGTTGGTTTAATCCCCAAATGCCTACAACAGCTGAACTAAGCTGTGCTGAAGCCAGGATCCAAGAACTTTATCCTGGTCTCTCATATGGAAAGCAGGGGCCCGTGTACTTGGGCTATCATCTCCTAGGGTGTGAATTAACACAAAGCTGGACTCAGAGGCAGAGGCAGGACTCCATCCCATCAGGTTTGGAATGAAGGTATTGCAAGAATTGTTTTAACTGTGGTGCATACTGTCTGTCCCGAATAAGGTGAGGGAAAATGGAAAGTAAAGACATGACAATATTTTGCTAAGAAAGAAGAGGGGATTGGATAGTCTGTCTTTGTTGACTTTGCAATTGAAAGAGAAGGCAGGCTGAAATTTGAGAAAGAGAAGGTACAGGTTGACTAACCCTCCCATCAACAAAAGGTGAGGCTGAGCCAAAGCTCAGAGTGCAGACTCAGTCTGAATTCTGCATTTTGTTGGCCTGAACTCAGACACAGGAGCTATCAACTGCTTGCTTCAATTGCTTATTTGGAGATTTTTAATCTTTTAATATCATTTTTTAAAGCTCCTTTCCTAGGTTAAGGCACTGTTAGATTGTATTCTTTGCTCATATTTGACGTAAATGAATTCTTGATATTTTCACACTCCACCAGTCTTCAGTTCTATGTTAATATTAAACAGTCTCTGCTCTATTAAGAATTATTTTATTCTTTAATTTGATTGCTTGTACTTGATAAGTGAGTTAGTATATTTCTTTGGTATCTGTTGGGATTTTATTCAAGCTATATGGTACAAATTTTTTTCCCAACAAACTCAACTTTTTTCAGACTCAGCCTCTTTTGAGCAATTTTAGAATAACTGAGAGTAATGTACATAAATGTCCTGTGTACCCTCAACTACCACCACATGGGTAACTTCAGCCAGGATCAACGTTGACCACCAGAGTGGTACATTTGTTACAACTGATGTTCCACTACTGTATTATCTTTGTCATACAGAAGTCACTAGATTCTAATAGCATTCAGGTTTTTTCAAAAAAGATTTATTTTATTTGTATTGTAAAGTCAGATACACAGAAAGGAGGAGAGACAGAGGATCTTCTGTCTGTTGATTCACTTCCTAAGCAGCCACAAGGGCTGGAGATGTACCAATCCATACCCAGGAGCCTGGAACCTCTTAGGGGTTTCCCACGTGGGTCCAGGGTCCCAAGGCTTTGGACTGTCCTTGACTACTTTCCCAGGCCACAAGCAGGGAGCTGGAAGGAAAGTAGGGCTGCTGGGATTAGCAGGGGCACCCATCTGGGAACCCAGCATGTGCAGGACAAGGACTTTAGCCACTAGGTTAGTGCTCTAGGCCCAGAATTCAATTTTTTGTTATTCATTCTACACATTTGAACAAATGCATAATGAGATATGTCCTCTATTTTCATACCATACAGAGTAGTTTCACTGTCTTAAAAATCTAATGTTTCCACTTATTCTTTTCTTCTGCCGCTGCTTGAATCTCTGCTAACCACTGATCTTTTACTGTCTCCTAGGTTTTACTTTTTCTAGAATGTCATATTAATATACTCGTAGTATATAATCTTTTCAGACTGACTTCCTTCATTGAGTAATATCCATTTGTTTCTTCCATTTATTGACTTTTAATTAGTTTAATACCATATGCATATTCAATTCCTGTTTGTAACTTCAGACAAGTAATAATGTTAGTGCCCTAATATTTCTGTCATATTATTTCTGGTGTCTAAGGAAAGTGGGAATGATGATGTTGGGGAGGAAACTAGCAAAAAAAAAAAAAAAAAAAAAGCAAAAATATCTAAGAACAACTTCCTTCAATTTAGAACTGTTAAATAAGTTATATAAAATGAAAACAAACATAAGCTGAGATTTTTTAAATGCTGTATGTGTGTCAGGAGTTGAGTTTCTCATCCACCAAACATTTAAGATTTATACTTTAGAATTAGTGTGTTTGATTTAAATTATGGTTTTGTTTTGGGAACTTGGACTTCACTATTCTCTTCTGATTATTAAGTGAGATATAGAAATTGTTTGGCATCATATCATGATATGATTAAGTGCTTGATAAATGTTAGTAAATTCAGATCCATTTATTTTCCCCATTTTAATAATGTTAAGAGGTTTGTCTAAATCTAAATTAGCAGATCAAAGATTTGAATATAAAAGTGTGAATCTATGGATTGTATTTAATCTATGGATAACTTGCACACTTTTAATTTTTGTTTCCTCCTTTTTGATATAAGACTAACTCTAGAAAAGGTAAGGCTTTGAAATAAATGATTCTTTTTTTTTTAAGATTTATTTTATTTTTATTGGAAAGGCAGATATACAGAGAGGAAGATCTTCCCTGTGTTGATTCACTCCCCAAGTGACCGCAACAGCTGGAGCTGAACCAATCCGAAGCCAGGAGCCAGGAACTTCCTCCAGGTCTCCCACAAGGGTGTAGGGTCCCTGTTCTCAACTGCTTTCCCAAGCAAAGAGTTGGATGGGAAGCAGGGCCACCGGAATTAGAACCGGCGCCCATATGGGATCCTGGGCGAGCAAGGCCAGGACCTTTAACCACTACGATATCACGTTGGGCCTAAAATAAATGATTTTCTGACTCAGTAAATCAGAAGCAAGGCTCCACACTTTAAGCTTCTTTCTTATTTTTAACATTTGCTTGTTTTTCTGAAAGGCAGAATTACACAGAGAAGGAGAGAGACAGAGAGGAAAATCTGTTGGTTCACTCTTCAAATTGCCACAAAGGCCAGGGCTATGCCAGACTGAAACCCAAAGCCTACAGCCTGGGTCTCTCACATGGGTGCAGGGGGTTCAAGCACTTTTACCATCTTCTGCTGCCTTACCACGTGCAAGAGCAGGGAGCTGGATCAGAAGTGAAGCAGCCAGATCTGTAACTGGGGCCTATATGGGATGCCAGTGCCACAATTGCACATTAATGTGCTGTGCCGCGGTGATGCCCCTCCCCCAAATTTCACATTTCTAACTCATTTCTAGGCAGTGCTGATGCTGCTTCTGGTCCAAGAACTGTTCTTTTAGGAGTACTGTCCTACAGAATGTGTACAATGGTAGAACACCACTGTCACATTAAGATAATTTTTTCTTTTTTATTATAAAGTAGTTTTTCTCTTTAAAAAATTATTTATTTTTTTTAAAGATTTATTTTATTTTTATTGGAAAGGCGGATATACAGAGCAGAGAGACAGAGAGGAAGAGCTTCCATCCGATGATTCACTCCCCAAAGTGAGCACAATGGCCGATGCTATGCTGATCCGAAGCCAGGAGCTTCTTCCGGGTCTCCCACGTGGGTGCAGGGTCCCAAAGCTTTGGGCCGTCCTGGACTGCTTTACCGGGCCACAGGCAGGGAGCTGGGTGGGAAGCGGGGCTGCCGGGATTAGAATCTGCACCCATACAGGATCCCGGGCGTGCAAGGTGAGGACCTTTAAGCACTGTGCCATTGCGCTGGGCCCAAAAATAAATGATTCTTTAAGTGTGGTGTGGTAGGTTCTCCCTAGAAAAAAGAGAGATTAGATAGTCTGTTTCTACTCAATGACATATACCATGCCATTGTAGAATTTAAAATTATGCTTCTAGTTGCATTTGAGAGTCCTTTCTCACATTGAATTAACAGTATAGTTTTTTTTTTAAAGTTATTTATATTTATTGGAAAGGCAGCACTCCCCAAGTGACTGCAAAGGCTGGGGCTGAGTCAATCTGAAGCCTGAAGCTAGGAGCTGCTTCTTAGTCTCCCGTGTTGGTGCGGGGTCTCATGGGAATTGGAGCAGCAGGGATATGAAGCAGCACCAATGTGGGTTCCCAGTGGGTACAAGGCTACCTAACCACCTGGCTATCATGCTGGGCCAACAAAATAGTTCTAAAAATGGGTATGTAGTTATTGCTTCCTTAATTGTTTTCACATAAAGCTGTTATCTAGGAAATTGTGTGGAGAAAATATTTGCATCAAGAAAAGTCTCAGGTTCTAGAATCACTTGTGTTCATAATGTGAATATGTCTTTAGTTCATTTTGGTACTAGGTAAATAATTCAAAATATTTATTAAGATGGAATATCACTTTCTCAGTTAAAAAAATTTGTACTGCTCAGCCTAGGGCTTCTGTTTCTAATAGGTAAATGAGTTTGAATACCGAGTGCTCTGGATGATCTAGGTGAAACGAGTTCTGTAATTTACTGTGGTGCAAAATCTTGTTATTTTTTTCAGAAGCTTATCACTGTAAAAAGTTAGAAGAATAGCAAATTTATAGGACAACAGTGCAGATTAAATAGTTTAAGTGAAGTGATTTTAAAAATTGTTATATGACAAAAATTTTGCTGGGAATAATTAGTAGTTTGAAAAATCCATAATATAATAAAATTTGAAGACTTCTGGTTTGGAAAAGGAAGAAATTAGTTGTCATTTATTACAGTTTTGCTACTGGTCAAATATTTTGTCATTTGTTACTTCTACCTGAAACTTTCTAATGAACAAACTGAATTCAGAGAAAAGTACTAACTTCCTTAATTGTAACTAGTGAATGTTAAAGACTGATTCAAATTCATATAAGCTTGGTTGACTTTACA